GTTCTATGGAGTCCATGAAAGCTTTTGTTGAAATAACTTTTAGGGTAAGAACACTATTTAATCTGTAAGTATGTTTATGAATATGCACAAAAGGGAAAAGAAATAAAAGAAGACAAAGAAATTAGTTAGTCACTTCAATAAAACATAGAATAAACACCATATAGTAAGTAAGATAATAACATGACCTTGAATTTTGGATTGACTGCAATGGGTGGGAATATAAGGCTCTATCTATGGTTAGGCTCTTAAAGTTGACTATAAGTGATTTGGGTCAATTCTAAAAGGTTCTTAAATTGTTCCTTACATCATGGTCCATCATAGACTAGTAAGGCACATTCAATTTGAGTGGGAGTGTTTCACAAGCCCATGTGAAGACATGAAATCTCACGAAGGCATAGGTACTTCACTCCTTCCTAAAGGTAGAGCCCAGGTGGAAGGCTTATGTTATGCACATGCACATGAATGACAGGTATATATACAATAAATAATTAATTAAGCATATATAAGCCAGGAAAAGAACAAAATAAATGATTAATTAAGTAGGTATAAACAATGAAAATAAAACAATAAATAATTAAGCAAGTAAAATATCTCAAATTTATTAAGCAAGGCCTGGATAACAAGGAATCATTTACTAGCTTAACTCTCGATATCTCAAGCGGAGTCGCCAAACTATCATAACATATAGATCTGTGGAGCTACCATTAGACATGGATTAAAGGAGTCGCCACCAATTTTTTTATCTAGGTGTGATTGGCTACCTAAGACATATTCTGATCCACGAAATTAGATATTAAGTTCATGAGTCGGTTACACATGGGAAATGTTATAGCACCCCCATAATGCCCATTCAAATAATTGTACCAATTTGATCTCAAATTATCCAAGCATTGATCATATTTGTAATTTATCGAATTAATTTAATATTGAAAATTAGTCTTAAAATTATCCCAATAGTTTGGTAGCAATCTAAGATAATTTTCTCACTTCGAAAGTATTCATAGAGACCAGTGTCCCATTCTAAAGAGGATCCATCGTCAGATTTATTAACATATGTTTATTCAAGAAAATTAGTAAAGTTTTTCAGTAGTTTGGTATAACTTAAAATAATCCTCTAATAGTTTAGAGGATAAACAAATTATTTTTTTGTTGTTTATATTTTTACTTTTAAAAAACAACGATTTATGAAACTTTTCAATAGTATGGTGGATTCCATTTTAAATATTAAACCCATGAAAACTCTCTAATAGTTTGGTAGAATTCATAAATTTATTTTGTAAGGATTTTTATTTGAAAAAGATTTTTTTAATTTTTTTTATTTTTGCTGAAAGGATTTTATTAATATTTTTGAAAACTTTATTTGAAAAGATTTTTTTTATTGAATCATTTTTCTTTTCTTTTTTTACTTTCAGAAATAAAATGGCAAAAATAACATTTTTAAAAGATAAAACCAAAAAAATCATAAAAAATAAAATTGGTTAAAAATAAAATAAAATAAAAAATAAATAAAAAATAAAAAAAACTTATGATCGGGTCGGGTCAATACTAGGGTCAACACGCAGATCCTCGTCAAGTCACCCGTAAGTTAAAGCTTTCCAAAACGCTATCATTCTGGAACAAAATAAAAGGCAAAACGTCAGCGTTTTCTTTAGAATTACTTGAGCCACTTCTTTCTCTTGCTTGAAAATCCTTTGCCTTTTCTTTAAAACAGCCAAGAACCATGTTAAAAAGTTCCACAAAAAACTAGAAAACCCATCAGTTTTGAGAAAACTTTCTCGAATCCCATTAAAAAATTCAAATGTTCTTCCTAAAAAAACAGAAAAACCTAGATTTCTTCAAATTTTTTAGATTCCCCCCCAAATTTGCTCGGATTGCTCCTAAAACTACCTAGAATCCTAATTCCAAATCCAAAAACCTAAAATCAAACCTAAGAACTCCATATTGAAGCTGGGATCAAAATCAAACTTCCAGAATATCTTGATTGTCTAAAATTTTCCAGATCTTTCCCTAAGAATTTTTTTTATGTGTGTCATCTATAAAGCTAGCTTGATTTATAGGCATCCCAAGATCTAATTTTTGAAAACAGATAGAATCAATCCTAGGATTGCATTATGTCCAGCATGATTTTTGGTCTAAAATTTTAGTACTTGTATTGATAGAACTTTGACTAAGGGATTTTAATCCTAATTCCCTTCCTGTTCACGTGCGAATCGAAAAAAAAGGAAAGAAGAAAAAAAATGAAAAAAATGAAAAAAAAAATAATAATAGTGACCATAATATTATATACAAATATACAAAAGACAAAAAATGAAAATGAAAATAATAATAATAATATAGTAATAATAATAATAATAGTGGCATCAATAATGATATAACATAATATTATATAATATATACTATAATAACAAAACTACAAAAGAAATCAATCCAATTAGGCTCGGACACAAATGGGTGTCTATAGTACTCCTGTAAGAAGTTGAATATTTACAGCTGACTAGAAAATGGATAAAGGCAATAGGAATTGTAAAATCAAGAATGAACACCAACTAAATTAACTATTCAAACCTGGCAGAAAGCAAAAATAAAAATAAAGTAACACCATTGAAACCCAAGAATTAACTAATTGAAGAAGATATAAAACTACCAAGCAAAGAAAAAAAAATTCTTTATTGTTCATATATTTAAGATAAAAAAAATAAAAATGGAAGAATGCCAGTGTATATGCAATGACTTATATTTAAAGCATCATAAAATAAGGCAATAATAAATGCTATAAGCGTTCCACTTCATTATCATATTAAGTTAAGTATTTTATGATGTTGATCACGTAATTTGACTTTCACCATGTAAATTACAAACATGGTTGATCTGCTAAGTTTCTTAAAGATTGAAAGCAAGTTAGAAAAGAGAGGAAGCAAAGAGAATGAAGGAAGGGACGTTGACAAGACAATACAAAGACCAAATTGCCTAAATGAAATTCCTTAGAGGTAATTTGGCAATATAATTTCTAATATCCTCCAATATCAACATAAAAGAAATTCAATATTTAACAACATGGTTATAAATAAAAGAACCCATAAAGCACCAAATCGAGGAAAAAACAAATGATATTAAGTAGTAGGCCACCATACTAAATTTGCCGTGCTTAAAGCAAACTTACGAAAAATGAAATAGTTTTAAAATACTCTTTGCCACATTCAAATTGCCTGCTCCAAAAATTATGTTGAACACACTTTCAAAAGAATTAACTAACTGCTCAGTTTTTAGAAAGGCAAGGGGGAAAAAAGTAAAAATAAGATTCTACATCTCAACGCCTAAGGTTCTAACTAAGAACAATCACCTTAGATAACTCTAATAAAAAATCTTTATTTATCTAAAATCTGGTTTTTATGAAAACCATAAAAGAGACCTCCAGAGGTTGGACAAAGAGACTAATGCATAGGAATCAAGAGAAGGGTGAAGGAAAAATCAGAATAAAATATAAAAGAAAGAACAAAAAAGTTAAAGAAATGTAAGAGGTCTTTTTTATCTAAAAGGGCACAACAACATTAAATTTTTGAGGTAGACCAAGTTTACCATCAACTAATTTTAGGTTTTAGCATGAATTCAAAATAAAACTCATTACAAGATAAGTATAAAGAAAAGGCTCTCTTATGATTTCAAGAAGAAAGGAAGAATGCTAGGTGACAAGTATGCCTTATACCCATCATTTCGTTACTTGATTTTATGATAAATGCAAGAAGGGGCCCCAACCTTTCAAAGCAGTGCACTAAAGAATACAATCTTAGCTAGGGATGTAATCGAATTGAGCCAAATTGATATAATGAGAAGCAAGAGTTCAAGCTCGAGTTGAAATTAGTTGTTTGAAATTCGACTTGAGCTTGATCAAATTTTAAATTTTAAGCTTAAGCTTAAGGTCGATCAAGATAAAAATTGAGTTACTTAAACTCACTCGATTAGGCTCATTTAATAAAAATGAGCTCAATTCTCATGCTCAATTTTTATTTCAATTATGCGTTCGAACTCGAGCTCGAGCTCAAATTGATATATATATATATATTTATATGAGTAAAATAGTAGTTTGTTAATTAAAATAATAAAAATATATTAAAATTTAAAAGCTTGATTAGGCCTGTGAGCTATTGAAGTCGAATATTAAGATATGCAAACTCAATTCACTTGATAAGTTGAATTGCTCAAGCTTGAGCTCAACTCAATAATGATTGAGCCAAATTCAAATTTTATCTAAACCAAACCTAAATAGCTTAAGAGTATTAATGTATCATTTACACTCTAATTCTAGCTAACCATAAAGAGCTGTAAAATAATTCCATTCCATTCAATTAGGACTTAGGGGAAAGGAATAATTAGATGAAAATTGAATATTTTTCCTTGAAATCCAGTTATATCAAGTACATTATAGAAAGTCAGAATTTGAAGTTTAAATATATATATATATATATCAACAACCTTTTTCTCCAAAAAAGGTTCTTCCAAAATTTGTATTGAATACAATTATATAATGAATATTGTTGATAGATTTTTACGCTCTATAAACCCATTTTGTTGGGAGGTGTTAACATAAGAATTTTTGTGAAAATTTCCATTTTCTTTCAGATAATCATAAAAAATTGGATTAAAGTATTCCTTCCCATTGTTTGTGCGAAAAATTTGGATTTCGGTTTGAAATTGTGTTTGAATCATTTTGTGAAATGGCTAAAAAATTACCTTAGCATCAAACTTGTCTTTTAATAAGTAAACCCAACAAGCTCATGAAAGCCATGAACCACCTAGTTCTTGTTATGTTATTTTCCTATGGTGGTCCCCAAATATCACTTTGAACAAAAGAAAAAGGTTTAGAAAATCTATATGTATTACTAGGATAATGAACATGAGTGTGTTTGGCAAATTGACAAGTTTTACAACTAAAGGAATGGACATCTTTATTCTTAAAAAAAAAGAAGGAAAAAGAGTTTTTAGATATGAAAAACTAGGATGTCCTAATCTATTGTGCCATAACATAATTCCTTAGAAATAGAAACAGATTCACCACTTAGAGCCAAAGCTTGTTTATTCACTTGTTGAGGATCCTTAAGGTAGTACAAGCCTTCATACTCCTTAGCATTGACAATTATTATCACCAAAAGTAAATCCTAAAACTCACAATATGAATGATAGAACTTAGCCATACAATTCAAGTTCTTTCTCAATTTACTTATAAACACTAAATTACATACTAAATTAGGAACATGCAAAACTAAAAATAGTGTCATATTAAAAACTTTAATATTTCCTTTTCTAGCAACAAAGGATAATGATCAGTATATGAAACTTGAAGTTTTCAGAATATGGATTATATGTTGAAAATAATTCATGTCATTCTGTCATATGGTCGGATGCCCCAGAATCTATAATCCAAGACTTCTTAGAATCTGATTTTGCACTCAAAGCAGAGAGATAGTTACCTTTTATGTAATTGTGCACTTTGGAGTAAGTGCAATAGTTGATTCAAAAGTTACCTCTGATCTACTCTGAAGAGAGGCACCAATTATGACTATTTTGGCCATTAGAAAAGAAAAAAGAAGAGCAAACCTTGCCTGATACCATGAAAACAAAGATAAAAACAATGTTTTATGAGTGTTATTTGATTAAAAAGAGTCCCCAAATATATAAAGAAATTGATATGCACGAAAAAACGCACAAAATCATGACACAATGATCTAAACATAAAAATGAATAAAAGACTAGAAATATAAATCCCAAAAAATCAAGAAATTGATTCTGATTTGACATCCCAACAAATAAAAAAATTGATCTTGATTTGATACATAATCTATCACACACTCCCCTTCAAGCTAGAGAATAGATATTTATCATTCTCAGCTTGTCAACAAGAGTCTCAAAGTTTGGTTTATGTAGTCCTTTTGTTAGGATATCTGCTACTTGTTGCTTTGTATAAACATAGGTCATACAAATCACTCATATATCAATTTTCTCCTTGATAATATACCTATCAACTTCCACATGCTCTATTCGATCATGATGCTGCAAATTATAAGCAATACTTATAGCAGTCTTGTTATCACAATATAGTTTCATAGGGTATTCAATTATCATTTTCAATTCTTCCAAAAGTCTCTTCAACTAAATAAGTTTACAAGTGCCTTATGCAAGAGCTCTAAATTTTACTTCTACATTACTTCGAGCAACAATGAACTATTTCTTTTTAAAGTTGCTTGTGCTATCATGTTTACCAATAATGTTCTTAAGTTTTTTTTAGGATATTATTTTAATAGCCTCATACTTGATCAATAGACTTCCTAGTAGAGTTCTCAATTTCAAAACACCATTGAACATGTCACTTAAATCATATCCACAAACTAGGTTATTTACTTTTTTACCCCTAAAAGTCTTTGGTTGTACATCTTTGTTCACAACAAAAGTCTATCTCATAGGAAACTAGAACCTAAAGCTATAAAAGGTATCTTGATTATGTACTTCCTACTCAAAAAGGATATAAGTGCTATCATGAAACATACATTTGTCTCATTAGATGTCACATTCTTTGAAAATCAACCATTTTACCCAAAATTGACTTTTCATAGGTAGATATTAAGTGAAGATAGGCTTTGAGATTTTTTCATTCCATTTCCTATAACATCTTTTATTCCTATTATGTCACCAATAGAAGCAAAGTTGGAAACAGGAACAAATTCATCTATGATTAATCTTCAATAAAAAACAGAGTATCATGTTTATGCATGACATAAACCACAGCCTCAAGAAGTACAAACTTTTAAGCCCTAGTCGCACTATCAAGAATCTAATCCATAAGTAAATTTTGAATTAGAAAATGTTGAGCTTACAGTACCATCACAGTAAATACTGATCCGTAAGTAAATTCTAAATGAAAAAAGATTGTTCCTACTGCACCATCACCAGTGAATATTCCATTTGACGATCTAGACATACCTATAACACTTAAGAAGGGTGTAAGATTATGCACTCAACATCCATTGTCCAATTATCTATCGTACACTTATTGGTCTACTACATTTTATGCCATGATAAAAAAGATTGAGGTAACTAAAATCCCACAAAATATTCATGAAGTATTATTTTCAAATGCAGTCCTTTACCACCTTTTTTTTTTCAAAAATTTAAAGCAATCTAAAAATTTGATGAAAAAAAAAGTAACAGCCATTATCAATCTCTAATAATGGCATTAGTGTATGCATGTGTGTGAGTTGAAATATTATGAGAATATTTTATGATAGATAGTTTAGAAGGGATTAATTAGGAGCTAATGTGTAATTTGTAATTGATTCTCTTTCTTGATTATTGTCTAATATAATAAATGGCTAATTCAATGGATTAGCAAGTTAATCTCTAAAGCCATAATTTTAACATTGTATCAGAGCTAGCAGTGCAACCCTATTCGTTGTTGCCTCCCCTTTCCCTCTTTCCTAAACCCATCTGCTATAGCCTTTAAATCGTCACCTAAACCGTCGCTACTTCAAACTTTGATCTTGTAACCCTAAAGCTACGTACTTAAAACTTTTTCTTTCTCTTTAATAGTCCTTCATTAGTTGAAAGGAGGCCACCCTTTTGTTCTCAAAGGCAACAATAAAAGGTTGCAACCTTTTCATGAATGATGGATTAAGAGAGACAAATTCTTATTGATGTAAAATGTGGTTGTAAAACTAAGGATGGAGTTCTTGGTTATTGATTTAAGATTTTGTTACCTGATTGAAATATTACCAATTATGTTCTAGAAAAAGAAGGTTCTATAGCCATGGCCAAGAAAAAGGCAATCGCATCGAAGGTGATAACTCAAGAGATTATTATAGGGTCATGGTTGTCAAATGAGAAACTTGATGACTCTAACTATTTTTCCTAGAGCAAGGCTGTGTTGGTGACCTTGTAAGGTCTTAAAAAGGCTTGATTTCTGACAAGTGAGCCACTAGCAAAGGAAAGCTTAAAGTATGCAATGTGGGAGCAGGAGGACAATAAAGTACTTGGACAATTGTTCAACTTGATGAAATGATGAGTCAAGGTGATATTTAATCAATACTTCACAAGAAACTTTGGATGATTTAAAAATTGTTTATGCAAATTTTGAGAATTAGCAAAAAATCTCAGACGTTACCAAGGCATGAACTAAAATGAAAAAATCCAATAAAAGCTTAAGAGAATATTTTGCTGCTTTCAAGGAGCTATATAACGAGTTTAATGAACTTATGCCTTATCTACTAATCTAAAGACTAATCAAAAGCAACAAAAAGCTTTAGTTGTAGTATTTTTCTCAACAGGTTTGAAAAAATAGTACATCAGTGTTAGTACTTAGATGTTATCAAGCAAATATCCATTTTTTTTACTAGATGCTTATAAGTGTCTAAGCAAGGTCACCTAACATGATCCTTCATAGGAAGACAGGGCAATATTTGTGGCCCCATAGCAAGAAGGGCAAGAACCATGTAAAAAACATAGTGGATGAGTTAGAGGACGTGGAAGTGGTAAAGGGGACCCATGGTCCTGCTATCATTGTGGACAGCAGGGACACTTACAGAATATTTATCCACATCTCTAAGGCAGTTCTGGCCCATCAGCAACATATGTGATTGATGTTATGCTTCAACCCCAACAGTAAAAGGAAATGAGAGTTCAGTTATCCCAAGATGAGTATGATAGGCTTATTCAGATGTTTAAGAATAATGCTTCGATCTCTTCTTTGATAGTAACTTTTATACAAAGTGAATCTACTATCTGCTTGGCTACTTTTTTTAGGACTTGGGTGATTAATTCAGGAGTTTTAGATTATATAATGGGTACTATGGGTACTCTTTATTCATATACTTATATGATAGGGAAATAGTCTATTTTGGTTACTGATGAAAATTTTATAGATATTGTGGAAAGTGGTAAGGCTCGACCTATATCCACGTTACCTTTACATTCTATGCTAACTGTGCCTTCTTTTCCTTTTGACTTACTTTCATTTAGTCAGATTACAAAAAATTTGAATTGTAGTGTCTCATTCTTTCCTACATATTGTGTTTTTAGGATCTATTAACGAAGTAGACTATTGGTAGGGGAAAGATCGAAAGATGTCTTTATGTGTTTGATGACATAAAAAAGATACAATCTGGATTAATGACATATTAGTGACATACTCAAGAGAATTGTCATCAGCTTATGAGTCTTATTATTGTTTTGGTCATCTATTTATGTCAACTTTACAAGTTATGTGTCCTCATTTATCAACTTTTAGTTTTGGTTGTGAATTGTGCAAGTTTGCCAAACTACACAGTGTCCTATCGACCGTGATTTAATAAAAGAGAAAAGTTTCTTTTTGTCATGATTCATTTTGAAGTATGAGGGCCTTGTCCTATTATTTTGAAATCTGGTTATAGATACTTTGTGACATTTGTTAATGATTATTCATAAGTTTGTTGGTTGTATTTGTTGTGGAACCATTTTGAATTATTCTTTGTCTTCACTACCTTTCATGCAAAAATAAAAAATCAATTCAATAAGGCTATCAAACTTTTATGGAGTGATAATGAGGGAGAGTATTTTTCTATAGAGTTTGTTCAATTCCTAAATATAAAGGGTATTATTCATTAGTTTTCATGTATAGATACCACACAACAAAATGGGGTTACTGAAAGGAAGAATCATCATTTGTTAGAAGTGGCTAGAGCTCTTTTGTTTCAAATGAATGTCCCTAAGGTATTCTGGAGTGAAATTGTCCTAACATCATTTTATCTTATAAATCATTTGCCATTTTCAATTTTTAAAGGAAAAGTTCCTCTTTAAGTATTATGTCTTGATCATCCCTTATTTCTAATCTCCCTCAAGGTGTTTGGTGCAAATGTTTTGTTCGTGACACTCACCCAGGTCGCATTAAATTAGACCCATGTTCTCTTAAGTGTATCTTCTTCGGTTATTCATATGTCCAAAAAAGGTATCGATGCTACTCTCTAGACCTGGGTTACTTTATTATTTTGGCAGATGTCGCATTTCATGAGTCAGTTTCTTTTCCTTTAGTACTAGTCTCATCCATCACCTATCATATAAAAAAAAATTTCTCATCTATCCGATACATAATACTCTGGTTAATGCATTTTCATCTGAGGCATGCCTAGAAACTTGATTTGGTCATATGTACACTAGAAGGACCTACGTAGATCTACCTACGAAGAATTCTTGCATCGAGATAGTCTCTTCGTCAATAGATCCACCTCTAGACACTATTGTTAAAGATGTACCAATTTTTCTACAAAAAGGTACACAAACTTGCAAAAATTTTCCTTTATACACATCATCGTACAAAAGACTTTCTGCTCAACTTCAAACTTGTATTGCCAATTGTTGCTATTACTGTGTCACATACTCTTCTTGATGCTTTTGCATATTCAGGATAGCATAAGGCTATGGAGAATGAGATGATGGCCCTAAAAGCCAACCATACATGGGACTTGGTTTCCCTATCAAAAAGAAAAATGCAAGTGGGTTTACGCCATAAAACTAAATCCTAATGGTTATGGCTAGTTTGAAGGCAAGAGTAGTCGCAAAAGGATATGCCCAGACATATGGAATAGATTATTTTGATACCTTTTCACTAATGACAAAGATGACATCTATTCATTTATTTCTTAGTTTTGTTGCTACACAAAAATGAGCATTACATCAGTTGGATGTGAAGAATGTTTTTCTACATAGTAACTTGACCGAGGAGGTATATATTAAGCAACCACAGGGGTTTGTTGCTCAAAGAGAGTCTGGGAAGGTGTGCCATTTGCATAGATCTCTATATAGTCTGAAGCAATCTCCACGCGATTGGTTCGATAAATTTAGTGTAGCTCTTATTCAGTATGGCATACGACAAAGTGAGAAGGATCATTCAATATTTTATATGTAGTAGAGTTCTAGCCTTATATTGTTGGGATATGGATGACATCTTCATCATTAGCAATGATAGTACAAGGATTGACAGACTTAAGATGTATCTTGGTCAATTGAAATATTTTCCAGGTATTAAAGTGGTAAGGTATAAAAATGGAATCTTTGTATCTCAGAAGAAGTATATGCTAGATATTTTGAGAGATACAAGTTTGTTCCATGTCAAACCAAGTGACACATTGATAGATCTAGGTATCAAACTTTCTCCAAAAGATGGCACTTTACTTGATGATCCCACACCTTATAGGAGACTAATGAGAAAACTAAATTACCTGACAAAGACAAGACCTAATATATCATTTCCAGTGAGTGTGGTTTGTCAATTCATGGCAACTCCCAGAGATACTCACTCAAAAGCAACAATAAGCATCCTCTGATATTTGTTGAGAAATCCTAGAAAGGGAATACTTTACAATTCTACTAGTGATAGGGGTATTCAAGCCTATGTAGATACAGAATGGATAAGCTCTCTTATAGATAGAAAGTCTACATCTAGTTATGCTATCTTCCTTTGGAGAAACTTGGTGTCCTAGGATAGCAAGAAGCAACAAGCAGTTGCTAGGTCTAGTGTAGAAGTAGAGTATAGAGCAATGGCTTTGGCTACAACAAAGGTGTTATATATGGTTCAATTCTTAGATGAAATTGGGCTTTCAGTTTGAACCCCTACAGAGTTATGGTGTGATAATCAGGCAGCTATTCATATTGCTTCCAATCCAATATTTCATGAAAGAACCAATCATATAGAAGTTTATTATTATTTCATTAGGGAAAAGTTGCAGAGTAGAACAATATTATTGAAACATGTGCGCATAGGAAAACAACTATATGATATTCTTGTAAAATCACTTCCAGGAGTTCGAGTTGATTATATATGTAACAAGTTGAGCATGATTGATATATATGCTCCAGCTTGAGGGGGAGTGTTAGTGTATACATGTGTGTGAGTTGGAATATTATAGGAATATTCCATGAGAGACAATTTAAGAGGAATTAATTGAGAGCATTAATGTGTAATTTGTAATTGATTCTCTTTCCTTAGTATTGTCTATGTAATGAAGCGAGTTGTTCTCTAAAGCCTTAATTCTAACAAATATAACTCTATATATACTAAATACACAACATGAAATATGAGAACAAAATATTACCCCATGTAAACTTGTAGATGCTGTAAAATGTATCTCAACCAACTCATAATTGCTTTTGTTTCAGGTTGCCGTGCATCCTCATCATCATTCAAAGGAAAGAACTGGCAGATTTTATTAGTTATGGTCATTTAATCATGGGGAAGAAAGGAGCAAATGCAATTTATTCTTGGAATAAAAAGCAACCTATAGCCAAACACATTGATTATCAAACAACAAGAAGAGTGCAAATATAAATATCAGGATCCAATTAAATTTTGAACGCAAAAAAAATGAATCTTTGGCTGGGATCATTTTCAGTCATTTGGATGAAAACTAGCAGAAAACATATCCCTTTCTAATATTATACCAAACAAAATATACACTAAAAACATTATCCCATCTACAACTTTATTAGTAAGCTAAAAATTAAACACCGACCTTAAGAATTAGTATTTCGAAACAATCTCCGGTTTCAACTTTTTACTCTGTCCAATTAATCCAATGATACCAAGATATGCTTTTCACGTTAGATTCTTCTATAACATAAAAATAACAGGAATATAAAATTGCCCATGCTATCTTTAGTGAGAATGACTGATCTGAAATTTTTATTAATTTCTAAATGCCAGAAGTTCAGCAAGGCAAAAACCATCTAAGTATGAATGCGCAATGGTTCTCCATATTTTAACAAAACTGATATAACATATATAAAGATCATAAGGAGCAAAATGGATCAAGTTTATTTACATCCTTAAAAGAAATTTTTACATTTCATATATATTATGTCAAGTTGACTAGAAAATGGGAGGAATTAAATGGTACACATTTCAAGCATCTTTCCTACCTGATTTTATCTACATGCCACCTTCCTGCATGATATTATAAAAACTATGATAAATCCTACAATTTATAATATCGATCCTGATTTGAGAAGAGTGTAATCCATAACTCCAATTATTCAACTAGGAATTTTTATAACTTCAACTTGTTGATGATGTTATAGAAAACTAAAATACACCTTTTAACTTTGGATATATCCCAATCTTAGAAGATCCATTTGCTTGTAATATTTAAGGTTCAACTTGGAATCGATCGCCTCAAACTAAAACCAATATTGCAAACGAGTTACCTGATCTGGAAAATCTCGATTTAGATCAATACCATTTGCATTACCACGGCTCCTAAGAGAAAACCCATCAGGATTCATTGAAGGAAGAATGTGAAGGTGAACATTTTTAACAATCAATTTAACCTGTACCATCAGCAAATATAACAGTTTAGGCAATTCTTTTAATATTGAAAATAAATGAAACTGTTATGATTAGACATTTTAGGTCATAAAATTACAGCAGCACAAGTTCCACAATTATAAAAGATGAATGTAACACATGCATGCATAACCAGACAGATGTAAACAGAAAGCGGATTTAATCGAAAGAAAATCAGGTAACAGTATTATCAAAATAACAAATGTAAATTGACGAAGGAAATAATAAATAAGTGGATCAATTTTTTATGGGAATGACTATTTCCACAGCCATCTTGACTGGGAAGAAGCAGCCTTATGAGTAGTGGACTGGGCACTACAAATCACTCACATGATTGCATCTGCATTGATTTATGCATATGGTCTGGATGAATAGGCATGCATCCTTTTTTAATGATTAAATGTGTAAAAGATATCAGTATAAATTAGACATGCAAATACAAAATATTTGATTACTGTTCAGATGAATAATTTAGTTCCCAAGCAGACCAATGTTTTCAATGACCATAAAGCATGCTCAATTTAGTTAAAAGAAAATGTTACTGATGCCCACACTCACCACTCCCCAAAAACAAAGAAAAATGATACGTCTAAAAAATGTCTCAGAAACAACATTAAAATATAAAAGCATCTTAAAATGACACCAAGATTCTACAAATCAACCAAGAACAAAGCATCATAATAAGTACAAAAACCAAGTTGCATAAACCTAAGTATTATTATGGCAAAAAAAAGTGAAAAATTCATATAAATCTTGTTCTCAACAACATGCAAGAAGAAGAAGAAACACACTTAAATGCAGTAAAATGAATAGAAAAGTACCGATGGATCCCTTAAATAGTTGTCACATATCCAATTTGCAAGAATAAGGAGAAGCTCACGACCAACAGGTTTGTCACCACGCACGTTACCAACAAACTGCAATGTCAAGTAAATCAGGCTTTGAGTCAACCCACAAAAAATAAAGGGAATGATAGTTCATTAAATAGTAGTTAAAAAACTACATTTAACAAAAATCGGCTATGTCATAATGATTTTGAGACCGCTAGATGAAAAGAATTTTAAAATTAAGAAAAATAAAAGGAGTCACCACCAATCTTTTTTATGGTGTGATTGACCATTCAAAAATTTATCTTTTTAATAAAACTATAAAAATGGGCTTAAAGTTTATCAAAAAGATAAATTTTGATCTACGAAAAACTAGGTTGGGCTTGAGAGTCGGTTATGTATGTTGGATGAAATGGTTTCGATTTAAAATTTAATACTAATTCCCTTCATTTAAAAAAATATATTTTTGTTAAAATTTTTTATTTTGGAATAATGAGGAAATCTTTAAGTTAAAGAATTATCTTAAAATTCTTCAACATCTAGGCAGAATTTAAAGTAACTCTTTTCGCTTGAGATTTAATACAATATTTCTTAAAATGAAAATAATACTCTTTGTAGAAAATAATTGTTGGTGACTCTCTAACATCTAGGCAAAGTACCAAAAATTATTTCCTTTGAAATATTATTTTTTGTTTTATAATATCATAATTTTAAAATATGTATTTATTTTTTTAATATAAAAAAATTATATGAGAAAGTAAATGATGATATTATTAGGAAGCAAATAAAAATTAAAAATAGAAAAATGCAAAATGAGTGTCAATAATAACATGATAGCATATGTATGCTAATGGATGTTATACAAGGTGATGAAATGCAATTTAAAAATTGGATTCTTAAATATAATGAGACCGCCTTAACTCCTTAATGTCTAGGTAGAGTTTAGGTATGACTATTTATATTTAAATCCTATTTTGTGTATTGGTTTTAATCCTGTTGTTCAGGCAAATTAAGGAATCATATGAAAAACTCAATTGAATAAAATTTCCTAAATACCCTATCGTCTAGACAGCATTTGAAAATAAATTACTCCACTTGAGATTTTCGCACATATCCTTAAAGTTTTAGAATGGTTTTGAACATAGTATGGGTTGAGGTTTTAAAGTTTGGTGACTTTTGGGTAATGATTTGAGATTGTGTACTAAATTTAGGGTTTTAGGTTTTGAATTTTAAAATGTAGAGTTTTAGGTTTTGGATTTTAAGGTTTTGAAATTTTAAGTTTTGAAGGTTTATGATTTGAAGGTTTAGGGTTTTAGAGGGTTTAAAAGTTTTAAATTTTTTGGGGTTTGAGGTTTAAAAGTTTCAATTTGAGGGTTTAAGGTTTTAGGATTTTCAATTTTTAAGGTTTGAAGGGTTTAAAGTTTTGATTTTAGGATTTAGAGGGTTTGAGGTTTAGGGTTTCAATTTTAGGATTTAAAAGTTTAGGGTTTAGAAATCTTGGGGTTTCAAGGGTTTTAAGGAATTTAGGGTTTCAAATTATTTTAGGATTTAAAGGGTTTAGGGTTTTGATTTTAGGGTTTGGAGAGTTTATGGTTTCAATTTTAAGATTTGAGGTTTAGGATTTTGATTTTAGAGTTTAAGGTTTAGGGTTTTGATTTTAGGGTTTGGAGAAAACACAAACATTTCTAAAAATCTCCAAATCTAGGTAGATTTTCGAAACAAATTTAGTTTTTATAATTGTCAAAAATTAATTAAAAAATTTGTATATATTTTCTTTTTTTAATAAAAAATTATTATTAATAATATCTATTTATTTTTATTATTGTTTTATTATTTATTATCTTTTTATACCTTTTTTTTATAATTCCCTAACATTTAGACAGATTTATTTTTAAAAGAATTCATTCTATCATTTAAGCAAGAAAATTTTTTTTTATCACTTTATAATCATTTTATATATTTTTTATTATTTTTATTTAACACTTGGGTTATTATTCTTTTTAAAAATACATATATTAAAAAGAATCAAAAGTTTTGAAATTCTTTTTTATTATTGTTATTAATATCATTAATAATAATAATAATAATAATAATAATAATAATAATATTATTATTATTATTATTATTATAAAACAACAAATATTAATTCTAATAAATTCTAAAAGTTTTTAAATATGCATAAATAACAATAATAAAGCTAAAAATGATATAAATAATATATAAACAAATTACCTGAATCAGACCTATCAACGGTATGGTCAACACTAGTTCAATTGGACCAATAATGGGGCAGTTCGACGAATGGTTTGTTGAACTAGCTAAAACGGGTTGTCGAGTTGGGTTACGCAAATCTCAGGTCAGGTCACGGGTACGCGCAGATCCTCTTTGCCTTAAAGCGACATCATTTTGGGCTTTCGTCTTCTATATAAAAACCTCTTTTTTTAACCAATTTCTTTCTTCTTTTCAAAAAAAAAATCTTTTTTCTTTCAACTCTCGTTGGCCAGAAACCCAAAAAATGGACCGATCTCTATTCGCCACTAGTCACCACCGATGGTCGCCAGTGATCGAAAAATATCAAACTTTTCCAAAAAACTCTTTTCTATCTTTTGAACCCAAATCTGCCTTTCTTTTTGCAAGAAACAGCCCTGATCAATATAGATCAAGGTTTGAAGTTTCAGTGTTCCTCTTTTTTTCAACCAAAATTGATGATTTTTTTTGTTTCTTGACACTGATGGTTCCTCCCTATGGGGACGGTTGTGTTTGTCTTTTTTATTTTTTTTATTTTTTTGATGGTTGACAGTTTGGAAAGGGATTAAGTATTGGGTACTGGGTGAGGTAAAAAAGGTGGTAAGGTGTATGGTCTTGGTGGAGCTCTGGTCTAGTGGGAATGGCTATTGTGAGGGTAAAATGGGTGTTAAGGGGTTGAAGATAATGCTATGGGAGGTCTGACCATAGGTTTTCAAAGCTAGGTCTTTGAAGGTTGGGGGGATGCAAGTGTTGGTATGTGTGTGGGTGAGGGTATGCATCCGAAGCCTTGGAAGTGGAGGAAACTAGGTGTTTTATGGGGCTGAGCACCTGGAATGGTAGGTGAAATTGATGTTTGGCAAGGTATGTGTGCCACAGCAGAGTAAGGCTAATGGTTCTAGGTAGTTTGGGCAGGTGAGGTGCAGGAGCTCTGGCTATGGTGGTAGTAGGGGTAGATGAACAAGCTAGTGCCATGCACGGAATCATGCCATCCCTATCCCAACTTTTTTTAATAAAATTTTTTTAATTTTAATTTTTAATATTATATTTAATTATTAATTTAACATAATTTAAAAATGAGACTTCACCCGATAAACCCAAACAAAATTAGTGCCTATAGCTGCCTCTCTTTGCACATTATTGAGAATTAAGAATAGGACAAAGACAAAAACAATAATTTTTTCCAAAGCTAACTCGATGACTCTCTAAAAGTTTTTTTTTTTTGTTTTTATGTTTTAAAGTTCAGGATTGAACTATGAATCAAGTGATAAAGAATGACTGTGATGATATTGTAAAGTAAAAAAAAAAAAATAGAAATGACTGAGATTGAAATGTGAGTCAAAGAATAATGAGACTGGGATTGAACTGTAAGTCAAAAATAAAGAGACTGAGATTAAACTGTGAGACAGAGAATAACGAGATTGGGATTAAACCGTGAGTCAAAGAATAATAAGACTGAGATTGAATCGCGAGTCAAAAAATAACGAGACTGGAATTGAATCGTGAGTCAAAAAATAAAAAGACTGGATTAAATGTGAGTTAAAAAATAAAAATAATCGAGATTAAACTACAAGTTAGAGAATAATGAGATTAAGATTAAACCACAAGTCAGAAAAAATGAAACCGTGATTAAATTACGAGTCAAAAAATAAAACCAACTAGGATTGAACCCGGGTCACAAAATAAATAGATTGAGATTAAACCACGAGTCAAAAAATAAAGATGACAGAATTAAACTTACAGAAAATAAAAATGACAGGGATTAAACTGCAAGTTAGAAAACAAAGAGACCAAGATTGAACGTGAGTCAGAGAATAAAAATGATCAAGATTCAACCACTAGTTAGAAAATAAAAATCGTCGAGATTGAACCACAAGTCAAAAAACAAAGAGACTGAGATTGAACTCGAGTCAGAGAATAACACAATTGGGATTTACCCGTGAGTCAAAGAATAATGAGACTAGGATTGAATTGCAAGTTAGAGAATAAAGACGACTGGGATTAAACCATGAATCAAAAAATAAAAATGATTGGGATTGAACCATAAGTCAGAAAACAAAGAGACTAAGATTGAAGGGTAAGTTAGAGAATAACAAGATCAGGATTGAACCGCAAGTCAGAGAACAATGAGACTGAGATTGAACTGCAAGTCAGAGAATAATGAGACTAGGATTGAATTGCGAGTCAAAAAATAAAAAGACCTGGATTAAATCATGAGTCAAAAAATAAAAATGATTAGGATTAAACCGCGAGTCAGAAAATAAAGATGATCGAGATTGAATCATGAGTGAGAAAATAAAAATGATCAAAATTAAATCATGGGTTAGAAAATAACAAGACTAAGATTGAACCGCAAGTCAGAGAATAACGAGACTAAGATAAAATCGTGAGTCAAAAATAAAGACGACTAGGATTAAACTGTGAGTCAAAAAATAAATGACAACTGAAATTGAACCACGAGTCAAAAAATAAAAATGATTAGGATTAAACCGTGGGTAAAAGACAAATATGACCAGGACTAAGTTATGAGTCGAAAAAAAAAGGATTCGATACTCGACAAATTAATAGTCTCGATTTTGAAAATCATGCTAAAGGTAACATTTCATCTTCAAGACCATCATCCTCATTTTGAAAAAGAAAAACATGCTAATTCTGTCTAATGTCTCATAAAGAAACCTTTAATGCAACTTATCATAAGGGGTATGTAATGTATACAATGATTATGATGAATAAAAAAGACAAATATACAATCAATGAATTATATCATGCATTTTCATTCATGTTAATTCAACTTTTGGAATTGGTTCGATTCTTTTAGACTTTAAAAGTCGCTTTCAGTGTCTTCATTTTTTTTAATCTTTTGATTTTCATCCAGCTATTTATATTTCCTCTTATTTCAAAATCTTTAACTTCTAATGGACCCATTTGACTTTTGGTTGCTCTAAAATCTTTTTCAAATTCTTTCTTTATCTTCTTTTCCTTTTTTTTTCTTCCTTTTATTGATGATCAATCAATTTCATTTCATTTTTTTTGATCCTGTATTGTTATTTTTGTCATTTTTACGTCCTTTTTTTTAACAATACATTGATCTATTATGAACATTATCAGTTAATATCATAATTTTAAATAACAAATGCAATGATTTCATATTCAAGATTGAACATGAAACTCAGTCAACAATGGCATATTTTGGTTTAGAAAGATAACGATAAGCTTTTCGAAACACAAAGAACATGTAATTCAAAAGCATTTCAAGAATCAAATATCAGTTTTCTAGATAATGAACATTTGAACGAGCTTGACCTATTCAAACCAAGTCTTTTCTCAAAAACTCGTGACATTTACGATCTTGTTATGTTTGATCTCATATAATCAATCGTTGCCCCATATTTGCAACTAATGGAATTTTGCCCCCAAAAGTCATCTCCCTTAATTTTGGTGTTATTCCATCTAGTTATGTGCCATCTTTTCGTTCTTTGAAGGATTTTTTTCTAGCTCCAATTTTGTTTAAGCCACCTTTCTACGTTTTCAACTTAAATGATCCCTATTTCTGGTTCAAATCACCATTTTTGGGTTTTCAATTTGAATCGTCTTTTTTTTTTCTTTTTTTACCTTTTTTTTTTTTTAAGTAAAATATTTTTTAATAATGTTCGAATTTATAGGGTTTGGCAATTCATCACCATCTATTTCTGCAAAGATCACAGCTCCATCTAAGAATGCCTTTTTTACCATACATGGACTCTCCTAATTGGACGTCAATTTTCCTCTGTTGTCATGTTGGTGTGGCAAAATTCTTTTCAAAACCAATTCACCTTCGTGAAAGCATCGAAGTAGTATCTTTTTATCATATGCTCGCATGATTCTTCTTTGGTACATCAGTCCATGGCTAAGTGCCAAGAACCTTTTCTCTTCAATAAGATTTAGTTGCTAGAAATAGTCTCACACCCAATCTGCTTTATCCAATTTTGCCTCCATCAAAACTCTCAGGGAAGCCCTTTTCTCTTTAATAAGATTCAGTTGCTCAAAATGATCTCAAATCCAATTTGCTTCATCCAATTTTGCTTCTATCAAAACTTTTAGGAAAAGAATTTCCACTCGATTAGTAGTAAGGCCTCTATCCCATATGGTAGCAAAAACGGGGTGGCCTCTTTCAAGGTTTAAATTGATGTTTTTTAGGCAAGTAGGACAAAAGGTAAGTTTTTGTGCTAGTCTATATATGTATCAATCATTTTCCCTAATATTCTTTTGATGTTTTTGTTCCTAGCTTTTATTGTATCATTCATTTTATCATTCATTTTTAGACAACATGGTGATAAATGATTATGCTTTATCTTGAACTATGCACACAATTCTTTCATCATTTTATTATTTAAATTGTTGGCATTATCTAAGATGATCCAAAAGTCCATACCGATATATTATCTTTCTTTTTATGAATTTGTACACCGTTGATTGTGTAATACTAGCATACGAAGCTACTTTCACCCACTTGGTGAAGCAATCAATTGTTACAATAATAAAATGATGCCCATTTGATGCTTTTAGGGTTATAGGTTTGATCATATCCATTCCCCATATAGAGAAAGGTCATGGTGGTGCCGAGACATATAGTGGGACTAGAATTTTATCAGTATAATTTGGCATTTATGGCACTTTCTGGCATAACTGATACAATCATTTTTCATTGTAAACTAGTAGTAACATGTTCTCATAATCTGTTTGGCCATCATATACCTATTGGCATGTGTTCCATAAATTCCCTCATGTACTTCTTCAAGTATCTTTCTTGCTTCAATAGCATCTACACACTTTAGCAAGATTTGGTCTTTGCTTTTATTATACAGGATTTCTCCATCAAGTACAAACCCTATTGCTAATCTTTGGATGATCCTCTTATCATTTTTTGAGGTAAGACTAGGGGTAGTTTTGGCACTTGACATACTACACAGTGTCATAATACCATAATTGTCGATCTACCTCTTTTTCTATATTTGAACAATGGGCTAGTGAACTTTTATTTATATTCTGATGGGCTGGATTATCGTACTAGTATTTAACTTGAACATTATTGTCAAAGTAGCCAATGCATCAGCAACCTAATTTTTTTTTTGGAACATGCTGAAATTGAATCTTTTTGAACTGTTTTATCTAGCTAGTTATGTGCCTTTGGTATAACACTAATTTTCAGTCCCTAGTGTCCTATTTGCCTTTTAGTTGATAAATTACCAAAGCTAAATCCTTATATACTTCTAGTGTCCCAATCTTTTTTTCAATGGCCATCTGCAAACCCATTGCACATGTTTCATATTCAACAATGTTGTTTGTATAATTAAAGTCTAACCTTGCAATACAAGGGTAATAATTTCCTTCTAGGGATATTAGCACTACCTCAGTGCCATGCCCCATTATATTGGATGCTCCATCAAAAAACATCTTCCACACTTTTCTTACAGGATTTTTGCCTTCATCCTTCAAGATCGCCAGTAAGTCTTCATCTACAAACTTGAACTTCATAGGTTCGTAATCTTCTATAGTTTGGTCAGCAAGAAAATTAGCTATTGCACTTTTTTATGGATTTTTATGTCACATACACAATATCATATTTCAATAGCATGACTTACCATTTTGCTATCTTGCCTGATAAAGATGGTTTCTCAAAAATGTACTTGAAGGTATCCAACTTTAATATTAGCCAAGTCATATGATAAAGCATGTATTACCTAAGTTTACGAGTAGTCCAAGCTAAGGCACAGCATATTTTTTCTATTTGAGGGTACTTGGCCTCATACTCCGTAAATTTTTTACTCAAATAATAGATAGCATACTCTTTTTTACCAATTTTATCCATTTTTCCCAATACATATCCCATCAATTTTTCCTATACCATTGATATAAAATTAATGGTCTTTTTGCAACTGGTGGTACCAACACCGATGGGCTTGTCAAATACTCTTTAATCTTTTTAAAGGTTTTTTGGCATTCCTTGTCCCATTCTCAGGATTATTTTTATAAAGCAACCTAAAAATCAAGTCGCATTTTGAGGTGAGTTGAGATATGAAGCAAGAAATATAATTCAATCACCCTAAAAAGTCTCTCACTTCTTTTTGTATGAGCAGTGTTGACAACTCTTGAATGGCTTCAATCTTATTAGGGTCTACTTTTATATCTCTTTCACTAACTATAAACCCTAGTAATTTTCTAGATTTAACACCAAATGTGCATTGGCTAGATTCAACTTGAGCTGGTATCTTTGTAACCTTTTAAAGAGTTTTTTGAGATTAGCAACATGATCTTCACCTTCTTGAGACTTAGCTCTTATATCGTCGACTTATACCTCTATTTTCTTATGCATCATATCATGAAAAAGAGTGACAATCACCTTTTGATATGTGGCGTCAACATTCTTTAGCCCAAAAGATATGACTTTATAACAAAATATGCTGCACATGGTTATGAACATAATTTTTCCCATATCTTCACGAGCCATTTTGATCTAGTTATAGTCAAAAAATCCATCCATGAATGAAAAGATGTAGTGCTCAGCAATGTTATTCACAAGGGTATCAATATATGGTAATAAAAAATTATCCTTTAAGCTGGCCCTATTTAAATCTCAATAGTTTACACACATTTTAACTTTTTTATCTTTCTTAGGAACTAGGACTTTATTGGCTACCCATTAAAGGTATTTGGCTACTTCTAAAAAACTTGCATCAAATTACTTCTTTACTTCTTCTTTTATCTTTAGCAATATTTTTAGTGTATCGGTGCATCATAACTTTTACTATACCAATCGACATTCTAGTTTTAAAGGCAATCTATGCTTAATCACATTTATGCTAAGTCCAGGTATATCTTGAAAGAACCATGCAAATAAATCCACGTATTCTTGCAACAAATTCACTAGTTTCTGTTTCTTAATCAATGATAGTGAAGTATCGATCCTAACTTCTTTCTTATTCTCACCATCTCCTAAGTTGAATAAGTCAGTAGATTATTGATGGGGTTCTATAATTTTCTCCTCTTGCTCCATCCATTTTAACAAATCATGAGGTAAATTATAGTCTTCTGAATTTATACCATTATCGAGCTCACTAATGTGAATCAAATTTTCAAAATCAAACTTGATGTTATTGTCTTGGTCATCCATAATGTTCATTATTAAAAGTCTTAAAAATGGGTATAATCACAAAGAAATATATATACTGATTTTGGCAAGGGTAAGAGGAATAGCAATGAAAAAGAAAAAATGGAGAACATGGTATATGTGAAATGCATCTCATTCATCATTTTATTAGGATAATGAAAGTAAGCCCATACATTTAACCTCTGCATGCTCTTGGGCAAAAGCAATTAGAATTCTTAAGTTTAAATAGTTCAAAGATAACAAAAATAGTGCATTGTTCTTGGATTTCGTAACCTAGGAAAAGAAAAAAGAATATCTCTTTATCTTACACATTTTTCTTATCTACCTTAATATAAACTTGAGAAAAAGCTTCTTCTAATCTCATTACTGACTCACTTTTTTAACCTCTGATGATCCAAGATGGACATATCTGTCAGAGTGGAATGTCTCGTATAGATAGGGGAAACCCATTCTTCCATTAGGTAATTCATGCCTTTCTAAGCATGCCATTCTCTTCTTTTTTTTCTTGCATCATATTCTTTCTATCAGTGGTAGTAAGTTTATAACCCAAACCCCATCTTTTTTTATTCTCAGTTGCACTTGTTGCCTTCTTAATTCCTTGTAAAGACCTTTCTAAACTATGTCTTGCTTGCCAACCTTTACCGATAGTTTGCTTGATCACCATACTCGTAGTTTTTTACAGTTAAGGGATTGGTATCTTTGACTCTTCTCTAATATAAGTAGCATTTACTACTTCAAAAATCCTAAAGGAGCATTCAATTACCTCTTTCGCAGCTTCAACATAAAAAGTAGTCAGGGTTTTAGTCACTAATAAATCTTTTTTACCATCTAAGCAAACTTGCTTCCCTTTAATGATAAACTTTATCTTTTGGTGTAAGGATGAAGGTACAGCTCCAGTGTTATAGATCCAAAGTCTTTCAAGTAAACAACTATATGTAGGTATTATATCCATCACTTGAAATGGGACATTGAAGGTACATAGGCCAATATATGGCAAAATCTCTATATCACCAATCACCTCTCTTCGTGTTCTTATAATCATGTGGTTGTTTCTCATATGAAAGGGGTCCATTGGCAATTTTGACAATGTCATCAAAGGTATGACATTAATAGATGACTTATTATCAATCAATACTTTAACCAAGCTTAAGGTTTTGAGGGTTTAGCATTTTAGTTTTAGAGTTGTGAGTTTAGGGTTTTGATTTTAGGGTTTAGAAGGTTTATGGTTTCGATCTTAGGATTTGGGGTTTAGGGTTTTGATTTTAGGATTTTGAGGGTTTAATTTTAAAGTTCGGAGAAAACGCGAACATCTCTAAAAATCTCTAACATCTAGATGGATTTTTGAAGCAAGTTCGATTTTTATAATTGTAGAGAATTAATTAAAAAATTTTTCATATATATTTTTTTATAAAAAAATTATTATTAATAATATCTTTTTATGTTTTTATTATTTATTATCTTTTTATATTTTTTTATAATTTCCCAACATCTAGACGTAATTATTTTTAAAAGAATTCCCTCCATCATCTAAGCAGGGAAAAAATTTTATCACTTTATAATCATTATATATATATTTTAATTATTTTTTATTTGACACTTGGGTTATTATTCTTTTTAAAAATATATATTAAAAGGAATCAAAAGTTTGAAATCATTTTTTATTATTGTTATTATTATCATTATTATTATTATTATTATTAATTATTATAAAACAACAAATATTTATTCTAATAAATTCTAAAAGTTTTTAAACATACATAAGTAACAATAATAAAGCTAAAAGTGATATAAAAATATATAAAAAATAAAAAAAAATTTATCTGAACCAAACCAATCAATGGTTCGGTCAACACCGATTCAACTGGACTGACAAAGGGGTGGTTTGATGAGTGGTTCGATTGAACCGACCGAAGGCTAGTTAAAGCAAGTTGCTGGGTCAGGTTGCGTGGAACTCGAATTAGGTCACGGGCATGCGCGGATCCTTCTTGCCCTAAAACGACGTCGTTTTGAGCTTAAGTCTTCTGTATAAAAGACCTCATTTTTTCCTTTATTTCCTTCTTCTTTTAAAAAAAAAATTTCTTTTTTCTTTCAACTCTCATCGACTAGAAACTCAAAAAATGGCCGTTTACTATCAATCGCCATTCACCGATAGTCACAGATAATGGTAGTCGATGATCAAAAAATGCCAAACTTTCCCAAAAAACTCTTTTCAATCCTCTGAGCCCAAATATGTTTTTCTTTTCGTGGGAAACAGCTCCGGTCGATATAGATCGAGGTTTAAAGTTACTATGTTCCTTTTTTTTTTTAACCAAAACTGATGATTTTCTTTGTTTTTATAGGTAGCTCGATGTTGATAGTTCCTCCCTACGGGGAGGACTATGCTTGTCTTTTTTTTGTTTTTTTTTTTTTTTTGGTGGTTGATAGTTTGGAAAGGGATTAGGTACTAGGCACTAGGTAAGGTAAAAGGGGTCGTTAGTTGTGTGGTCTTGGTGGAGCTCTAGTATGGTGGGAATGAGTGTTGTAAGGGTACGGTGGGTGCTGGCGAGTTGAGGATGATGTTTTAAGGAGGTCTGGTCATGGGTTTTTGGAGCTAGGTCTTTGATGGTTAGGGGTATGCAAGTGTTGGTATGTGCGTGGGTGAGGGTATGCATCCGAAAGCCTTGGAAAGGGAGGAAGCTGGGTGCTTAATAGGGCTAGGTGCCTTGGATGGTGGGTGAAGTAGGTGCCTAGCAAGGTATTGGTGCCATGACAAAGTAAGGCTGGTGGTTCTAGGTAGTTTGGGTAGGTGAGGTGCAGGTGCTTTGGGTATGGTAGTGGCAAGGGCAGGTGAATAAGCTAGTGCCATGCATGGCACCATGCCTATCCCTGTCCCAACTCTTTTTAAAAATTTTTAATATTACATTTAATTATTAATTTTAACAAAATTTAAAAACGAAATTTCATTTGATATATTCGAACAAAATTGATGTCTACAGGCCTGTTCGAATATGCAATGGAAGGGAAAACAAACTCTAAAAACTGTATGTAGAAAACACAATGAACATCATCATGCTAATAAGATAAAAAGTGAATCGTCATAGCCAATTCATGTTTCCAATAATTGTCATAAACAGAAGTGTAACACTAGATAAGGCACAGGGTAAATTTTAAGAAAATTGACCAAGGGAAAGTTCGTGAAGGTGAGAAAAAGGCTTTTATCAAAGAAAGGGGAGGGTGAAAAGAAAGTTCAAAACTCGCAGTGTTCTTTGTTTAAGCTTTCACCATTGAAATTTTCTTTCAAAAGTAATTCAACTCCTAATTATGTTCCAGAATTGCTGTTTCCAATTTTTTCCTCCAGAAAACACCTAAGGAAGCATAGTCCTTGAGA